GAAGGCGTGAAATTAAAGGGTTTTGTAGATGCTGACTATGCAGGAGATATGGATGGTAGGAAATCAACTTCCTCTTACGTATTCACCTTATCAAATTCGTGTGTTAGTTGGAAATCACAGTTACAACACATAGTTGCACTATCCACTACAGAGTCAGAATATATTGCCATCACTGAAGCAATTAAAGAGGCTCTATGGCTTAGAGGTCTACTTCATGAACTGAGTGTCTTGAATGAGTACGTGGTTGTGTATTCTGATAGTCAGTCATCCATACATCTGTGTAAGAATCATGTTTTTCATGAACACACTAAACATATCGATGTTAGGTTACACTTCATTAGGGATATAATATCACAAGAAGTAGTAAGACTGGAAAAAATTCACACACAGTATAATCCTTCAGATATGGGCACGAAAGTACTGTCACTGGTAAAGTTTAGAAGTTGCAAAGAGCTTCTAAACATCGGTACAGGTAAATGATTTCAATTTTATCGATTTTTCTATTAGAGGTGTCACTAATGGAAAAACGTTTTTCTTTGCAGGTCCTTTGACACCAAGGTGGAGGTTGTTAGACATCATGTTGTCAAACGACCTCCCGGGCGATGATGAAAACCAATTTTATCAGTCGACATGAATGACTGAACGATAATTCGACATCGAATAATGGATGAACCGACCAAACGTTGCCTTACCTATTGGACGGCTAATACTCTTTGTGGCTTGTTGTTTCTTTCATTGGAAATTAACCCTAGTCGAGCCTACTTACCATATCTTGACTTACCTTATGTTGGCCACTTAACATATATATATATATTGGTGGTTTTCTTTCACTCCTCAACCTGTCCATATAGAACCCGAGAGCAAAGAGAGACTGTCGTTCTTCTCTTGTGTCTTCTTCTTCGTGATTTGTCTTCCATGCCAATTGCTTGAGCCTTTGTGACTCTTACCTGTGTGGTATCCATCCTAAGTGTGTGGATTGAATCAACAAGCAAAAGAGGAAAGCAACCATAGGAGAAGAGAAGCCGGCGGATTCGGTCAACTTGGTTTTGGTGTTGAAATTCGATGTTTAATGATTAACTGAGCCCGAAAATCACTTTGAGCAGTTTAAGGAAGATCCTAACACATATCTTTGGTAACAAAAGGCTGGTACAGTGATGATATCACCAGCTCTTTCTTTGACCAATACCCTTTTTGTACCATCATTGTCTCATAAATTATTGTCGGTGAGCCAAGTCATGAAGGATTTAAATTGTGCTATTCTAATTTATCCTACCTTTTGCCTTCTTCATGACATTCTCACCAAGGAGAAATGGAAGATTTTTTAGAATTGGTCGAGCTAATCAAGCGAGAGGCTCCAATGATCAAAATAAGGTGAACATTTTGTCGTGGCATCGTCGATTAGGATATCCCTCATTTAGCTATTAGAAACTTGCATTTCCTACTTTATTTTCAAGTTTGTCGGATTTAAATTTTAAATGCAAGACATGTATCATAGATAAAAGTCATCGTGTTACTTATCCCTTGAGTTTCAATAAAAGTCAAATGCCTTTTGAATTGATTCACTCTGATGTGTGGGGTCCATTTCCCAAAACCACTATGACTGGGTTCGATGGTTTGTGATTTTTGTGGATGATTTTACTCGTTTGACATGGCAATATCTGATGAAAAATAAGGATGAAGTCTTTTATGTTTTTTGCTCATTTCATGAGATGGTTAAAACCAGTTTTCTGCTACAATTCATAGACTTCGATCTGATAATGGTAGAGAATATGTGAATAGTGCATTCAAAAATTATTTCAGTCACCAAGGCTTGATTCATGAAACTATATGCCCTTGGTCACCTCAGCTGGGTGGTATTACTAAGAGGAAAAATTGACATATTTCAGAGACTACTCATGCTATTCTTCTTGGTGCTTATGTACCTAAACATTTTTTGACCGACGCTATCACTACGATAGTTCAACTTATTAATCAGATGCCTTCTAAGGCTCTTGAGTTTCAAACTCCTTTCCAAGCTCTTTCCACTGTCATTTCTCTAACTACGGCCCTAATGCTTTCGCCTCGAGTATTTGGTTGCATTACCTTTGTTCATCCACCCAAAAATTGGCGCCCCAAACTTAATCGTCGTATAGTTCAATGTGTATTTCTAGGGTATGGCCTGCATCAAAAAGGATATCGATGCTATGATCCAGTTAATCGTTGTACATCTGTGATAATGGATGTCACTTTCTTGGAATTGGAAACTTTTTTATCCCTTTACCACATCCACTTCTACCCTTCAGGAAAAGCCTCAGGGTGAAAATTTGAATTGGCTGGGTTTTGATTGGCCTAAATTTAATGAGTATGTTATTTTTATACCTGATTCAGAGCCTAATGTTGATACAGAACTTGGTGTTCAACCATCAGAAACTGAAGAGACCAATGATAAGCAACATGCCTTTGAAACAGAAGTAGGACCCCCTCCTTAACCCACAGTATCCACAAACCCATCTCCTAAGAAAGCTCCCTAAACTGGCGCAGGGTAGGATAGATTATCCTGCAAGCTAGCTGCAACAAATGATTCGCAAGAGAATACGAAAGAAAATGCCTTAGAACATAGAGAAATTCTCTAAAATTAACTTAGTTTTATTATCAATGCAGAATGTCGAAAATTAACCCACAAGTCGGGTTAAATAGCTGAAAAAATACGAAATTATCGAAAATTTACCAAAAAGGGCAAAATTTTAACGATCATACCAAAATAAAATATGAAATAAAAGATGTTGCCAAAAATTTGGCTCAATCCGGATTCTCTAACGTCTAAAAAAAGGAAACTCAATATTACCATAAATAGTAAAAAATAACTAAAAATTGAATTTTAGAAAGGAAAACAGCGGATTTTGGACTTAAAATTGACACCACCATGACATGCGCATTGAATAGAGCTTTCCAAATTGGGGTCATCATAGCGATTCTGATAATCGTAGCTAAAGTTATGGTCAAATTATCAAAAACGTGCCAAAATTGCCCCAGTTAAGGAAAGATTGCATTTATTTTCCATCTTTGCACCGGTCTGCCATCTCATAGTATCACCATGCCATCAACGAGCTATATGATAGATTAGCATCACTTGACTCGGATCCTTTTGCATCAGTCGCCCCGGGTTGGAAAGAACTCGCACTCGAGTTCACATTAGCTTCATCAGACTCCACAAAACATGGATTTAGATATTTCACATTGAAGATATTGGAAGTCTTCAAATGGCTGGGAAGACGCAATCTGTAAGCGTTATCATTGATCTTCTCGAGCACTTCACACGGTCTAAACTTTCGCTCCTTAAGCTTATTATATTCCCCAGTTGGAAAACGATCACATGTTAATACTGTCCACACAAAATCACCAACATCAAAGAGCACCTGACAACGACGACTATCTGCCTAAGCTTTGTACTTGGAATTACTTTCCTGAATGGAGAACTTCACCTGTTCATGGGTACCCTGAAGATGTTCTATCATCTCATCAGCCTTGTGATTGAAAAGCCTCACACGTGGGATAGGAGCTAAGTTAAGTACTTCGGATGGTTTATGACATAGACAACCTAAAATGGGCTCAATGCTGTGGTTCTGTTCTTTGATCGGTTATAGGCAAATTCTGCCTAAGGCAATGCCAAATCTCACTGTTCAAGTTTAATCCCTGCCAAACTTCTCAAAAGATTTCTCAAACTTCGATTTACCACCTCTGTCTAACCATCCGTTTGGGGGTGGTAGGCGCTACTAAAATTCAACTTCATCCCTAGTTTCTCCCACAAACTCCTCCAAAAATGACTCATGAACTTGGTGTCATAGTCAGAAGTGATTGATTGGAGAACACCATGTAAACGCACAATTTTCCTAAAATAAAGATGAGCAATCTGAGTAACATCCATCATTTTTCAGTAAGCCACAAAATGAGTCATCTTTGAAAACCTGCCAACCACAATAAGAATGGAATCCATCGCTCGTTGTGTATGAGGTAAGCCCAATATAAAATCCATGCTCACATCAAACCGATGAGCCTTAGGTACAGGTAATAGCGTGTACAGTCCATCATTAGTAAGAGCTCCTTTGGACTTCTGACATATATAACACCATTCCACATAATGCGCCACGTCACTGCTCAACTTGGGCCAATAATAATCAGAAGAGACTAATGCCAATATCTTATCTCGCCCAAAATGTCCCTCATTATAAAGTTCACTAATGATCTGCCACCTTATTGAACAGTCTAGAATGCACAACCGCAATCCACGAAATAGATAACCATTATGCAAAGTAAAATCATGTCGATGATTATCAGTTACCATCTGAATTATCTTCCCGAAGGAAGGATCTGCAGCATACATATTAGGAAATGCTTCAAAGGCAACAACTTTGGTACTTATGGTGGAGAGGAGTAATGTGCGACGACTGAATGCGTCTGCTACTCGATTCAAACTCCCTGCTTGATGTCTTAGTGTAAATGTAAACTCCCACAAGTATGCTACCCATTTTACATGTCGCCTACTCAGCTTGTACTGACCATTGATGTACTTTAAGGCTCATGATTAGTAACAAGGATGAACTCTCTCTGTACCTGGTAATGACGCCAATGCTTCAAAGTCTGAGCAATAGCATAGAACTCCAGATCATAGGTCAAATAATTTTTTTTATCCTGACATCTTCTCACTGAAAAATGCTACTAGACGCCCTTCCTGACTCAGAACATCACCAATATCAACGCTAGATGCATCACAATTTACCTCGAACACTTTCTCAAAATCTAAAAGTGCCAAGACTGGGCCTCTGTCATCTTCTACTTAACCAATTGAAAGCTAGCTCTGCCTCCTCAGTCCACTGAAAATCACGCTCTTTAAGGCACTCTGTGATAGGAGCAATCAGAGTGCTGAAATTTCTTATGAACTGGCAGTGGAAAGATATCAATCCATGGAAACTTTAGACATCGTGCAAACTTTTTGGCTTGGGTCAATTCAAGACTGCCCCAACTTTGGATTGATCTGCATGAACACCATCAGTAGACACAATAAAATCCAAAAAAGTTACAGAAGTTGTGAAGAAAGAACACTTATTCTGATTGATGAATAAGCGCTCCGTCCTCATTACATCAAAAATAGCACGAAGATGATCAAAATGTGACCCCACGTCGGACTGTAAATAAGTATGTCATCAAAGTAGACTACCACAAACTTCCACGTGAAAGGTCATAAAACCTGATACATAAACCTCAAAAAAGTGCTGGGCAAGTTGGATAGTCCAAAGGGCATGACCATCCACTCGTACAATCCATGCTGCGTCTTAAACGTCGACTTCCACTCATCTCCAAGTTTGATTCTGATATGATGATATCCGCTTTTAAGGTCAATTTTTGAGAAGACCTTAGAACTGAACAACTAATCTAACATGTCATCCAAACGAGGAATTGGAAACATGTACTTCACTGTAATCCTATTAATTGATCTACTATTAACACACATCCGCCACGATCCATCCTTCTTCGGTACTAGTAGAGCAGGAACTGCACATGGACTCATGCTCTCACAAATATATCTCCTCTCCAATAATTCTACAACCTTTCACTGCAACTCTTTAGCTTCCTTAGGACTGAGATGATATGCTAGTCGATTTGGCAGACTCGACCCGGAATAAGGCTGATCTGATGTTGAATATCCCTCATAGGTGGTAACCCCAGAGGAAGATCCTCTGGCATCAAGTCAGAAAACTTCATTAGTAGCTGCTGCAATTCTACTGGTAAATTTGAATCCTCCTTCACTTCATTGTTTTCACAGGACAGTAGAGCATATATCACTTCTTCATTCCCAACCTCTACAAAGAATCTGGACATAAAAAAGCAGGTTGTTATTATTAGTTACTGGGGCAGGGGTGGTTTCTTCCTTGCGAGGTGCCAAAACAATTTTCTTCCCTTTCATGCTAAGAGAATAAGTATTTTTCCTTCCATCGTGAATAATGCTGCGATCATACTGCCAAGGTCATCCCCACAATACATGACATGCATCCATAGATACCACATCACAACAAGCATTATCAAAATATTTTTTTTTTCAATCAAAAAAGACACTAGATACCTTTTTCTACGTTACGTTACCTCACTGCTTTTATTCAACCACGATAATTTGTATGGCTTGGGATGATGATCTATCTTCAGCTGCAGCTTTTGGATAGCCTCTTCAGACACTACATTCTCACAATTGCCACTATCAATGATTAACTTGCAGACTTTATCGGTAACAGTATAGGTTGTGTGGAAAAAATTGGTCCTCAACCAATCGTCCCCTAAATCGCCCTTGGGAGTCAGCAAACTCTTGCAAACGACTAGAGTCTCCTGGCCATCTCCATACAGCACATCCTTATCTTCACCTTCATCATATATAGGCACGCCAACCTCCTCGATATCCTCTTCAATTAAAAGATTTTCATTCTTCTAACCAGTCAACTTCTTGCAATCAGTCATCCTATGTCCCTGTTCACCACATCTGAAGTACTTAATGCCTAAGTTAGGAATGTCATGTGGGGTTGATAGGCAGGACGAGATGTTTGAGGTCGAACTAGCTGACTACTTTCACTTTTGACTACTGGCTTCTTATTTTGCTGCCTTTTCATGACAAGTGTACACTGGTATGCTTCAAACACTGTCCATAATGAATGAAGGCTTAGAACATCCTACAGGGGCTGCCTTAGTCCTCCCACATACCGTGCAACCATCTATTCTTTCATTTCAGATAAATCGTTCCGAGCTAACAATTGATAGAACTCTTCCGTATAATCATCAACAGATCTCGTACCTTGCCTAAGTGAATGGAGCCGCTAAAATAAAGATTGAGTGTAGCCGAAAGGAAGAAAGTGTCCTTTCATCTTTTTCTTCATCTTCTCCCAATCAATGATCTTAGACTTGCCTTGTGACTCTCGCGAATGCCTCAATTGTTCCCACATACAGAAGCTCTTCCCTTAAGTTTGATGGCGACCGATTTTACCTTGACATGATCTGGAACCTGCTTATACTCAAAAATTCGCTCTACTTCATTTAGCTTGTAACGTACCAAAGAACTCGGATAGATCCATTCTAAAGATGAGGTCCACATGGCGATTCTCCCATCCACGATGCTCCTAAATTTGAGTACAATTATGATAAGGGTTTTCAAAACTGGTATCGAAATCGTGACCCTCCACACCATGATTATCGAACTCCTGTTCTGCCGGACGTTGGGTTAATTTCAGAACTTGTTACTGTAAATCCTCAATCGTCACATCTTGAACATTGTGATCATGGTATGGGACTGCCTCAATCGCTCGATGACCACGACCACGTCAACCAACCATTGCAACTGGTAGAAATTCACCCCAGGAAAATGCTGATACTCTGATACCAACTAACGCCGAACAAGATAACAATTATTCTACAAACTAGCTACAACAGATGATTCACAAGAAAATACGAAAGAAAATGCCTTAGAACACAGAGAAATTCTTTGAAATTAACTTAATTTTATTGTCAATGCAGAATGACAAAAATAAACCCATAAGCCGCATTAAATAGTTGCAAAAATACAAAATTATCAAAAATTTACCAAAAATGGTAAAATCCTAACGATCACACCAAAATAAAATATGAAATAAAAGAAGTAAGTTGCCAAAAGTTTTGCTCAATCCGAATTCTCTAACGTCTAGAAAAAATGAAACGAAATATTACCATAAATAGTAAAAAATAACTAAAAATTGAATTTCAAAAAGGAAAACAGCGAATTTTGAGCTCGAAATTGATGTCACCACGATGTGCGCATTGAAGAGAGCTTTCCAAATTGGGATCATAACAGCGATTCTGATAACTGTGACATTACCAAAAACGTGTCAAAATTGCCCCAGTTAAGGAAAGATTGCATTTATTTTCCATCTTTGCGCTGATCAGCCATCTCATGGTATCTCGGCGCCATCAACGAGTTATCTGACATATCAGCATCACTCGACTCGGATCCTCTTGCGTCATAAACACTACAAATACACCTCTATTAACAAATAATACTCATGTGGGCTATGAGCTACCATATAGGCATAACCGAGGTAAGCCACCGAACAGATACTCTTTTGACAAGGAATGCTAGAGATCGAAATACCCAATTGCCAACTATATATCCACAAAGGGGCTTCCTAGACCTCTCAAGGATTTTACAGATGAACTCTCCTCATGTCAGAAACCTATAAGAGTTGACGAAGAGATGAAAGATCCTAGGTGGGTCCAAGCTATGAAAGAGGAAACAGAGGCACTATTGAAAAATGAAACTTGGCTCCTTGTCGCTCTACCCAAAGGAGAGAAGACAATGGGATGTAGTGGGTGTTTTCAATCAAATGTAAAGTAGATGGAACAATTGAGCGTTACAAGGCGAGACTTGTAGCAAAGGAATTTACACAAACATACAAAATGGACTATCAAGAGACTTTCTCACCCGCAGCCAAGTTAAATGCGGTGAGAGTATTGTTGTCACTTGCAACAAATCTCGATTGGCCTTTGCATCAATTTGATGTGAAGAACGCATTTTTGCATGGTGATCTAGAAAAAGAGATATAGATGGAGATTTCCCCAGGATATGTAGCCAACATAGAAGGCAAAGTTGTTTGTAAATTGCAAAGAACTCTATACGACTTAAAACAATCACTTCGAGCTTGGTTAGTGAGGTTCAGTACGACAATGAGAAAGTTTGGATTCCAACAAAGTAACTCTGATCATAACTTATAAGGGTAAATTAACTACTCTAATAGTCTATGTAGACGATATGATCATCATAGAAGATGATTCAGAGGAAATAAAAAGGTTTCCAAAGCAGCTAGGAGGACTCAAATACTTTTTGGGAATTGAAGTTGCTAGATCAAAGCAGGGTATATT